CAGGGAGGGCAGGACGACAACGGCGGTGGGGGCACTCTGCCTCACCCTGTCGCCCTGTCGCCCTGTCGCCCTTCGCCGCGCCTTCTCGCCCCTCGTCCGCCCCTCGTCCGCCCCTCGCCTCCCTCGCCCTCGCCCTCTCCCTCGCCTGCGCCCTCTCCCCTTCGCCCTTCGCCCTTTTGCCCACCGCCCACCTTGCCCTTTCACCCACCTCGCCTTTCACCCTTTCACCTGCCCCTTCGTCCCTCTCGCCCACCTCGCCCTTTTGCCCGTTTTGCCGTCTCGCCCACCTCACCCACCTCGCCCCTCTCGCCCACCTTCTCGCCCCTCGTCCATCCCTCGTCCGCCCCTCTCCCCCCCTCGCCCGTTCGCCCTCACCTCCGTCTCCTCGCCCTTCACCTCTCACCCTCCACCACTCGCCATCTCGAGGGGACCCTCCGACCAGCGAACGACCAGCGGAGGGCGCAAACGAGCATCCGAAGAGGCCCAACGAGTGACGAAGGGCCCCGAACGAGCAGAGGAGGGGCAGATGGGGGCAGATGGAGAGCGCGGAAGGGGCGGAGAGGTCCCCAACCGACCCCAGCAGGCGGCGGAGGAGCGGAGGGGTCCCGAACTGACCCCAACGAGCATGGCAGGAGGTGGAGAGGACCCAGCCAACCCCAGCAAGAGGCAGAGGGGGCAGAGGAGCCCTAACCCACCCCAACAAACACAGGAGGGCGGAGAGGGCCCCAACGAGCGCAGGGGGCGGGGCGGAGGGACCCACCTAGCACACGCAGGGCGGAGAGTACCACACCGAGCACAGGAGGATGGAGACGGCGAGGAGGAGGCGGAGACGCCCACCGAGGGGCAGCGGAGGCAGCGGAGGCGGTAGCGGAGGTGGGGGACCATTCCCGCCCCCACGAGCAGAAACGGCGCGCATAGGACGCGCCGTTTCTGTTCGTATTATTCCTGTTTCGTAGCAGGTGGCTCTACTAGCCACCTGCATCATATATTTATTTTTTTACAATATAATACAATTTGTTCCCTATTTTCATGTGCACATCAAGAATGCCAGCTAAAAATAGATGATGTGGTAAAAATACCAAGCATCATCCAAAGCGCCCTGTCCCAATCCATCCATTCCCGCCCCCCAACGATGGGGGAAATGGTGCACAACGACGAGGAAATATGTTTCCTCGTCGTTGGCGCCTTTTCCCCGTCGAAAACGGTGGCGGGAACACCAAAAACGACGAGGAACAATGCTCGGGCATTGTTTCCTGCGTTGTTTGCTCATGTTGACAGGTCCCACCCACAGCACTGAGCCCCGGCATGCACGGCAATGGCCTCTCCGTGGGTGGACTGTTTAATCACAGTCCTGACATGTGAGTATACCCTGCTTAAATGGATGACTGTCCGTAAAGTATTTATTCCACAGTAGAATATTTCATAACAAAGTCGGACCTCAAATTCAAAGATAATCTTATAATCTATTCATCTGATTAAACCGCAAGCCTCGTGATTAAAGATAATTGTCATTCCCTGGGCCTCCACCCATCTCTAGCCAGCCATGAATGAAGATGCACTCATATTCCAACAATTCACAGAGCAACTTGAAGAGGAGGCAGATGAAGAGTACTGGGAGATGGGTGTTGCTTCACTCGGCGTCATAGTGGGAGGTGCCGAGATCTCACGTCAGTTACAGAATGAATGATGTCGCGAAACCCGCCAATATCTTACCCGCCCTGAACTCCTGGAGAACCCCTGGATTGCGACACCATGGACCTCCCTTTACGACAGCAGGAGTGACCGTGCATATATCACAACCATGGGGTTCGATGTTGCCACCTTCGATTTCATTCTCGAGTCGGGTTTTGTACAGACCTGGCTCTCAACACCCATCCCCCGAACTGATACCTCTCGTTCAGGAGATCCACGACCAGGCGGCCGATCTTTGGATCCCCCAGGGGCCCTTGGCCTTGTCCTCCATTATCTCAGCTCCACGATGCTCGATGTCAGCTTGCAGCAAATCTTTGCTCTCATCCCTGCCACAGTTGTCCGGTATCTTGACTTCTCACTTGACATACTTCTCGAGGTCTTGCGAAGAATGCCAGATGCCCGTATCAAGTGGCCGAAGGGTGGCCCAGGTGGTGGGCAATTCCAAGAATACAATGATCTTATCATTGTTCGACATCCTCGACTGATTGGGGCCTTCGCTGCCATCGACGGATTGAATCTTCCTGTCCAAACATCGGAGGATGAAGATATTGAGAATGCTACCTACAACGGGTGGCTCTCAGAGCATTTTGTCAGCTCAGTACTTGTGTTCTCACCGAAAGGCAAGAACATCAATGCTATTGTAACTTCATTCACTGATAATATCTTAGGTGAAATCATTGATGCTGTTGTAAATGCACCAGGCAGTTGGCACGATGCTAATGTTGCTCATCCTATTTTTGAACGGCTTCACACACGAACACCACCTGGATACTACCTCATTGCTGACACAGCATTTCCTTGTGGAACACAATCCATTGCAGGACGCATTCGCGCCCCGCTCAAGGCTGGCCAGGCTGTGCGAGGTATGCCAGACGAGATTGCGGAGCGAATGGCCTATGACCGTGAGCTTCTCTCATATCGGCAAACAGCCGAGTGGGGAAATCGAGGTCTTCAAGGAGCATTTGGTCGTCTCCGTGTTCCACTTCCCATTGACAATGCAGAACGTCGAGGAAATCTCCTTGAGATCTGCAATCGCCTCAATAATCTGCGCACAAGACGAGTGGGAATCAATCAGATCTGGACTGTATACATGCGATACTGGCAGGACACAGCTGAGGACATTGATATCTGGCAGAACTTTGAGAATATGCTCTTCTCAGATCAACGAAAGAACGATAGAGTTGCTCGCTTCCATACTTATGCAGAATACACGTAAACAGGTTTGTATTACAAGCAGGTGTATGGTAATTGTAACGGAACACAACAAGTAACAGAACATAAGTGTAGACAGAAGTAGATGTTGCACTACTCTACTCGTCCTTGGGCCCATCAGCATCCTTGACATATATATCGTCATCGTCACCCTCCTCACCATCTTGGTCCTTGCCAGCTGTGGCAGTGGCAGCATTGGGCTGGGAAGTAGTCAAAGCTTGCAACTCTATGCCAAAGTGATGGCCTGACGACGACGATGACGAAGGCTGGTCTCTATAGTCAATGTCACAGCGGCGACGGAAGAAATTGGGGTCCTCGTTCTCCTTATCACTCTCACCCGAGGTAGAGGAGGGATCCGTGACCCAGTACGTGTGTATACCTCCCTCCGGGTACCTCTCCTCGCAACGCATCTTTCCCTGGACATGCTGGACTGAACACTTTGTGGACTTCGAGCGCTTGACATACCCATTGTGGCGGCTCCTCCTGAAAGGTCGAGACTGGTGGCTACCCTCTTCAATGAGCTGCAACTGCAACTCAGCACGATCGCGGGCTCGCTGGGCCTCATGAACCTGGGTCTGGAGAGTAGAGAGCTGGGAGCGGAGCGACTCAATGGTAAGGTTGGCGTCTC